AGAGCAGGTCTGGACGACGTGGAGAAGAGAATATTTATGATCATATCGAAACTCCGTCGAGTCCCGTAGCCAGTCGCTATACCGACTGAGCTATCCGAGACGAGACACTGAGGAGCGGTGTGTACCGTCGCAGGGCAAGCTGTTGTGAGGAAGCATGGGGTTCCGTACGTGGTGGGGAATTTCATGACAAGCAGAAGGACTGCCAGCTCATTACGTTACTTGCTTGCCCACGGAGCTGAGCCCTTCTTGAGGAGGCGCCAATTGTGCAGCTACTCAAGAACTTCCCAGCATTATGTGGAACCCGAAGGTTCATTGCCGTGTTCACAAGAGCCCTCCACTGGTCCCTATCCTGAGCTACATCAGTCCAACCTATACCATCCCATCCCATCTCTCTAAGAGCTTCTTACGTTTGGTTTCAATCTTTTACGTCGGTGGGACTGAAGAAATCCCCAGGAGACTACTAAGTACTCTGCAACTGTCAGCTTCTCAAGAAGGGCTCTGCTGCCTGGAGTTAGTGGGTTACGGTGTTTTTGCTCGTCTTGTCAGATTTTGGTTCTCACTGTACTGAGCCCAGTTGCTGCCTAACGGCTCGTTGTTGACGTCAATCCATTTCTTGGATGTGGACAGTTTTGCCCATGTTTCGGAGGTACGTGGCCCCTCCTCCTCCTCCAGGGTCGAATTTGGAAGGGTGGGCGACTTTCTGAGCGTATATTGCTTTCTGTTACGGAGGAACCACAGAGGAAGAGTGGAAGCGGATGCGAGTTCAAGTTTGATAGGGACGGGGAAAGGTGTGTAGCGGCCATTACAAGGGCCACGGAGTGCACAGTACAAACATGGCGGCCCCTTTTGCCAAGCGATCACCCTTGCGAGCGCTGTCATAGGAAGTGTGATTTTGGGGCACCGTATAGTAGCCGGACCGCCCCCCCCCCACCCTCCTGCGTGACGCACTGCTACTGCGTGGAAGTGAACACGTAGGCCGAGCTGGACCGGAGGGACAGGCCGATTGTTCTTCCGGGTAGAATGGCTTTCTTCCGTTGGGAACCCCTGCTCCAGCGCTTGGGGGGTCAGGTCGATGTAGCGGGGCGGTGCATGTAGCATGCACGGGAGTATGAGAAAGGCATGCGACGTTTTGGCCTGGGAAAAGTGAAGTGAATACTGCGCAGGACTCCGAAACTAGCGAGGAACGCTGAAAGCCCGAAGCGAGCTACGTTGACTGCTCACTGTACAGTGGCCAGTATACCCATGCCGTCTTCCTTAACCCCACAGGTGTGCTGCAGCAGATCAGTGGCGGCTCGTATGAAACTACGTAGTTAGGAGTACATAGCAACGAACCTTCTGGCATATCCGTTTTGTTTACTGTCATATTGTGAAGGCTGTTTCAGGTTCTGAACCCAACATGACGAAATAAAGTCCTTACTGTTTAATTAATTGACGCGTGTTTTATTGTTGCAGGCACTTCAGGGTTGTGCTGTACCCGAGTGCCTTCGGCTTCTCCTTGCTAATCATCATTCCACCATTGCTTCGCACTGATTCGTCTCCACCCCTTGAGTTGTGCGATAGCCCTCACCACGCAGCACATTATCATATCTTCGGTTTTGCGGGTTTCGTCTCAGGCGCACCACTTGGCCGGTTACACAGTCAGAACGTCAGTTTAGCTCATAAAACCCCAGCTGTAAACACGGCCCTAGCAGTCCGTGTACTTGATGCGGCGTCGTTTAATATATGACAATGGGGAATGGGTGTAGCGGTTCTTGCTGGAAACCCTGTATCCCCCTGAGGTATTTTGTCATTTTACTCAGGCGCCCCAGTCGCATTCCGGGGCAGTGCTATACCGGCGTCCTTCCACTCGTCACCGGCTCTACCATTCGACGCTATTCGCATAGCCGGAGCTGCCAGCAGCGTCGCTCAGTGGGCCCCAAATTAGTGCCCTTGACACTGGACGGTTCTCGGCCACCTGACCTGAGTATACATAGGCAGCACGGAAATAGCGCTTATGTATTTTTTAAAGAATGGTAGTTATTTCAGGATTGTGAGGACACGACAGACGAATGGACACTGTAGTAATTGTGATGATGTAATGTTGACGTGTTGATTCTTGTGCTGCAGGCTTGGCTCTGTTGCATCATAGTTCGGGTCCCCAGGAGTGCTCATGTAACTCTTCGATTTCAGTGCCTTCAGTTCCTGTCCCCAGGAGTGATCATGTAACTCTTCGATTTCAGTGCCTTCAGTTCGGGTCCCCAGGAGTGCTCATGTAACTCTTCGATTTGAGTGCCTTCAGTTTTCATCGAAAAAATAGGCGATCACTTAACATTCGCGTTATCCGTGTCTCAACCCCGTCTCTTGTTTTGTTTTAGTCGTTGGTTTAAACTTCACAAAAGCTGTTAAGTGAAGGATCGCATGAAACTGAATCGCGTAATTCGGGACATAACGTGGGCTGAAATGAAGTCCGGGTTTCTGTCTCGACGCGTCTTGACCGCGTAGTCAGTTTCCTGTTGTACCTGAAACATCTTGAGGATGCGCCTTCGTTGGGCAGTGACGAGGGGCTGCCTGCTCGAGGTGCCATGTACACACAGAGATGTACGGAGGCCAGATGGCCCCGATGTGAACATCTGTATTCCGGTTTTCCCGGTTATGACACTGTGTTTTGTCATATTCGTGCCACCGTTTCGGAGGAACATACTTCTTCCGTCTTCAGGATAGGGCTTAGCAAAGTTTGGAACCTTGAAGCCAGTAAATGTAAGGTAAAGTCCCTGTGCTTAACTAATTAAGCAATACGCCATAAAGGCGTATGGGGGAATGGATGTATAGGTCCATATTTTCTTGTCCTCGGCACTAGTTTGAGGTGAGTGCTCAGCTTCACGCCCCTCCCACTTTACCCACGGGGAAAAAGCACCCGGTAACCATTGGTTAGGTGTCTGGGTGGACCCCAGAAGCGATCTTGACTACATGGAGAAGAGAAAATTCTTGCCCCTCCCGGGACTCGAATTCCGACTCCTCGGTCGTCCAGCCCATAGCCAGTCGCTATACCGCCTCCTCAAGCCAGTAGTTTTCTTATTGCGAAACGTTAGTACCCACCTACCAGACTACACGGCATCGTAACGCATATTGCCGCAGATCCCGCATAGCGACCTCACGTCCCGTGACAGGGGCCGGCGACTTGCGCAGGCAAGACTGTGGGGTCGCGAAAGGAGAAAAGTTTTGCTTCGTCTGACCATATATAGAAAATCTGTAGTTAAGTTTCCTGCTGGGGTGGCCTGTCTGGGCCAGTGCTCTAGCGCTCCCTGATGATGGAAACGTGCCCACTTCCCAGAACGTTGGTCAGTGTAACGTGTATAGTAGCACCGCACCGGCAGAAACAGTTACGGAGGCGTTGAACCACGCGATCGTCGTCGCTCCGAAACGTCGCACTTGGAACAGGCGACCTTACGAGAGACACTTACTACCCCGGAAGGGAGATGCTGGATCTAGAAGCATGTACAAGTACAAGCCTTGTAACGATGTGCGCTTGCCTGTTTCCTGGGACTCACCTGCCTGCTCCTCGCCCCAGGGTGATCGCCTTCGCCTTTGGTACCGTGCCTGGAATGCAGAGCGCGGTTCGATGCTCGGTGCTAAGTGTAAACAGCCAGCCCACACATCCACGGCTTTCAGAGAGGCCGCGGGTGTCGACCCGTGGCTCTCCTCCCCACCCCACCCCCTCCGTGGGCAGCGCCCCTACTTTTGCCCAGTGGCGTGAAGGCAGAAATTCTGCGTACAGAATTGCGTTTGAGATGTTTAAGTTTATCCATACCGATCGGCCCATGAGTTTTCAGGATAGAGGATTCATTTAAAAAGTAATTCTTTGGTGGCCTAATTGAATTTTGATTTCTCTTTTTCAAAATACGAGGTCAGATTATTGCCCCCCCCCCGGGCATATATATACGTATAATTGAGAATTATTGTTTATGAGCTTCATATGCTGCATGCACTCGGTGTAACAGCAGGTACATACCGCGTCCATCCTCAGGACCGAACACAGGAACACAACAGTAAGTGGGGACAAGCAAAACACCGAAATTTCCATAGTCCCCGCTGTCAGTATAGCAACCCATGGAAGCCCATACGGCTGTGAGTCGTTGAGGCTCCCACATTTTGTTTTAAACAGTCTGCTTGCTTCTGGCGGTGAGGCCGTCAGTCTTACATGTCGGCCGCCATTTACTCCCCTGGAAGATTCCTGGTACTTATTTCTGTCAGAGGCTGAGTCGACCCCGGGGCCATAGTGCGGCTGGAAGAATTAAGTAAATTGAAAGATCCAGGGACCTCATCGGGAATGGAACCCGCACACCTTCCGGCATGCAGCGCAATGCTGCTCTGAACAGTTCCAGTATGACGCTAGCGTACGTGGATGTGTAGGATTGCATGGCTTGTGGTACAGGACATCGTGTTCTGCCCCAGATTGGCCACTCTCTGGTGTCTGAACTCGCGATTCTGGAGGGAACCGCGCTTGTTGTGTTTACAGTTGGCCTAGGGACCTGAGTGTTTTCTTGTTGTCAACCCAGCTCAGTGGAAACAGTTGCTTGTGTGTTGACAGTTACAGCAGTTTCATTGTCTGAGTGAGTGTCTAAGTCGGGAATTCAAACAGTTGCACTTTGCACAATCATTTAACACTGTACAGTCTGAGTTAGTGAAAACGTGGTTAAGTAGGCCAAATGAAATATGTACATAGAGTGGGGAAAGGGGACTGAGCCTGATGCTGTCATGCAGTGTCGGAGAGGACAGGTGGCTGTAAATTCAGTCATCCAATCCGGATCCCAGTATTATTAGTCACGCAAACCCCTTATACTTGACAGTATTTATGAAAGTTTTGAGGAATATGCCTCACTAAAGATAATCATCAGATTCCTCCAAAATGTTACCTGGACAGAAAAATCACGGAACCATGTTGCAGAAGACAGCAATCATGAATCACACAGCCTTCTGTATTGCAGTGCCATGTAGTTCTGAAAGATCCTGATGTGTTGCAGGTGGAGCAGCGGGATGTACCAGGAATTGACTGTGCCTACCTGGCGATGGACACCGAGGAGGGCGTGGAGGTGGTATGGAATGAGGTGCAGTTTTCCGAAAGGAAGAACTTCAAGGCCCAAGAGGAGAAGATTCAGCAGGTGTTTGAAAACCTCACCCAGTTGGAACACCCAAACATTGTCAAGTTCCATCGCTACTGGACAGATACTCACAACGACAAGCCACGGGTAAAGACTGGAAACCTAAAATTGGCAGTCGGTTAAGAGTAGTGATGCTTTATGGTGTCATAAGTAGATACAAACTGTCCCCTCAGAAACCAAATACACTCTATGTCCCTTTATTTGTACAACACAGAAATATACACGTTAGCTCCAGTTTTGTGATGTTTTCTCTAAATTCACCAGATGTTCAAAATGGCCACCTTAACATGGATGTGGTGTTGACAGTGATGCAAGGCAGACTGGCATCCTTGTTTGGCAAGTTTCTGGTGAAACTGTTGTACAGAAACATCTCATGCATCCGGGCCTCTTGGTGTAAAAGTCTTGTGGTGTTGAAGTCAGGTGATAGGGATGGCCACTCCACAGTTCCTCTGTCTCTCTCCATCCTACAGAAAAGGCAGTGTTTAATGATTCTTTTGCGCTACTGTGGCAGTATAGTGCTCCTTCATCTTGCTCAGAGAACCCATCTCTCCAGGGTATCTCCATCGAACGGGCTTAACAAAGTAGTTTGATTTGATGATGATGGAAGTAGAGTCAACTTCTGAAACATCTTATACTGTGGTCCAAAATAAGACAGTGGAAAATGTCCAGAATATATAGCAGCATAATAACACCACATCGCAGTTACTGATGATGGTATAGAGAATCATCACTGGAATTGGTTGATTTCATTTGTAGAGGGAACAGGAGAACACCTGCACCAACATAGCCATGCTCGTTGTTGGTCTGACACAGGACATCAGTCATTTGATGGATGATCTGGTTGCCAGTGGTGTTGGAAACGTTTTGGCTTGCAGCTGATTTTCTGCCGAGTTAGTGATAATCTCAGTTTTGGTTCTGTAAATGTGATGCAAATGCTACCAGCAAGCTGCTGCGCAGAGCAGTGTGTGCAAATATACAAATTCATTTTGTTTGGATTGTCACACCATTCCTGAGCAGAGGCAAGAGTCTTGGCAAGCTGCCAGGAAATATTACTTCATATTTTTCTGGTGACCAAAAGATATGTCCAGCTATCAGATTTTTAAACATTTATTCACCACTGAATTTAAATGATAAGTATTTACCCCAGTCAGTGAAACAGTCCAGTAATGTTGTTGTTGCTATAACACCTTGCGTTGTACACAGGTGATCTTCATCACGGAGTACATGTCATCCGGGTCACTGAAACAGTTCCTAAAGCGCACCAAGAGAAACGTGAAAAAGTTACCACTCCAGGCCTGGAAGAGATGGTGCACGCAGATCCTGTCGGCCTTGAGGTGAGGGAACGTTGAACCTGGTCACTCATTTGCATATTGTGGAGCATTCAGGATTTTGTGCCGTGATGTTGTTCAACTGGTTCTCTCATCCTTGGAAGCCTTTCAGATTGCAGACCACATTGGTGACTTTTTGTGCTAAATTTTTTTAGCTGATTGGCATAAATCAAGGAAAGCATCACTTTTTAAATATTAAAGTAATATAGTAAATGCTTTTCATGGTTTGAGGCTAAACAATGTCACCTAAGCAGGTAGGTCTGCTCTGGTAAAGTTGTGCTAATGCTGCTAACTGGATTCTCTTTTCCCGACAAGAGGATGAGTGTGAGAAGTGTGTACAGATGACATATGGAACGGATCTTCGAGTACCATGTTTGAATCTGATTGGTATGTTTGTAGTTTTGGGAAGACATGCTTAATTCACACGTTCACAACATTCTGATTTAAGAGAATATTTAATGCATTGTTTAATTTGTGACAGACAAATAGTTGCTTTGAAGTCTCACAGTTAATCCCCAGTTCACAGCAAGTGTGTTACTTATATATTGTGCATGTCAGTATTCGTATGGCGAGGCAGTGTTGGGGAGGGTTGGTGTTCCGTATGGGTCGCTACACACATGTCAGCTCATTCCTCACCAGTCACAGTGTCCACAGCTGAAGCAGCAGTTTGGCCACTGGAGCAGTGTGAACGGACCAGATCATCCTCAACGCATCGCCAGCAGACAACAGACCAGCAATGGAAACTGTCCATCCTTGTTGATGGGGTAAACGCTGATGTTTTTCTTTCCAGTTACTTGCATTCCTGTTCTCCACCCATCATCCATGGGAATCTCACCTGTGATACCATATTTATTCAGCACAATGGCCTCGTGAAAATAGGATCAGGTAAAGTGAAGCAAAACACAACTATTCATTAATGTCTCTCTAGTGCGTAAGGCCTAGTTTTAGCACAGGGCTCCAGGGTGAACACACACCATGGAGGGTTTCGTTCATTACCCTTCAGTGGTTTGCTAGGGTTTCCCGGCTGTCTAATTCATTGTCTGGCACACAAAAACGTCGGACGAGCGCGGTCGTGTGGGGTTACGGCATGTCACCGATGGCATAGGTCCGTTGACAGGAAGGGGCGCGAGTTGTTCTCGAACGTTGGCAGAATGAGTTGCCGTCAGAATCCGACCGGGGTCTTTGTGTGCAGAATTAGGTGGCAGATTGGTGGGATGGGAGG